AAGGAAACAAATCTTCCCTCCAATTATAAAGCTAGCCAAGGACATTAGTATTCTCCTCCATCTCTTTCATTTCACTCAATCTATATTCCATGGAAAGGATGAGCTAAGTAATTCCTACCAAAGAAACCAAATAAAATTAGAAAACTTTACAGAGAGATAGAGAGGGGCTGGGAGTTCGGGGGATAGAGAGAGAAAGGTTACTAATTTCAATTAAATAAAAAAAAAGGGGGAACTTCTTGGAATTTATTGCTAAATGCTTGTTAAATTGGGTTAATTAGTAGTAGTAAGATGTTTATTTTCAATTAAGTTCTTTTTTTCTTCTTATTTCTGGTGGGGCGTTGAAATTCCTCAATGGTGAAATTATAGGGTTTATGTGTTTGTGAATAGAAATATTAATTTGTGTAATTCCCAGTTAATTATGGTTAAAATGACATGATTAATGATTAAATTAAAGAAATTAAAGCTAACTATGAGGTTTAAACCATGAAATAAGATTGTAATTATTTGGTGTTGTGATGATGTAGTGTGATTTATTGTTGATTATGATTCATGTGAAATAAATTATTTTAAAATTGATTTATGATTCTTAAATATAAAAAGCTGGAAGTATAAAAATTGATAAAACCATTTGAATTTTTGATATTATAATAATATTATTATGTTTAAATTTTATCAATGTTTGTAATTTAATAATTATGTATTTGAGTTTTGGATGATATATTTGGTAAGAGAATAGGTATATGAGAGTTTTAGAAAAAGAAATGATTTGGGTTTAATGGATACCATTATTTTTTAAATACAAATTAGTAATATAAAAAAATTAAAAAAATATATGGTGGATACAAAATGATAATAAGAAAAATATGAAATGATATGTTAAATGCAAGTTGAGAAAATATAAAATTGTACTTAAGTTACAAATTGGTACTATAAAAAATGATAATAATATATTTTAATAATTATAACACTTTTTGGTGCTTAGTTTAGGTATTATCTATGGTGCAAATTATGTTCTTTAAAAATTAATTTTTTTTGTTAAAAATTAAATTTTTTTTGTGTATTTCACCGTGTTCTCTAAAAATTAATTTTTTTTTGTTAAAAATTAAAATTTTTATATATTTTAAATTTTTTTAATGTGTTGATTTTAAAATGACTTTAAAAAAATAAATAAAAATTATTTTTAATATATTTCAACACAAAAAACACTTTAAAAAATAATTATAACTACACTTTTAAATTATCACTTAAAAATATCATCAATGACTGGGTCAGCTCGGCGTGATCTTGTGCCTCTTGTACGGACCTCAATAAAGCCCCACAGTCCCCGCACTTCAATGACAATCCCGCCATTGATTTTGATTTTGATTGATAGGCGAATCGATCAGAAAGAGAGAGACGGTGGCTCTGTCATGTGAAATTGAGTTTCTTTCCGGTCGTGTTTCTTATTTTGTGTCGCTTTTTTTCCTTTCGTTTTAATTTAACCTTTGCTTGCTGGTGAGGGAAGGAAGGCGAAGGCAGTGTTTCTCAGCTTCTCCATTATATTACATCCAAAACTCCAAATAAAAATGTTACAGGATCGAAGATATGCAGATAAGGAAGAAGACCATACCCTGTATTAAATATCGTAATTCTTAATTGAAAAATAATAAATTAAAAGATAATATTTTATAATTAGAAGTGAAATCCCCACGTAATCAGCATAAAATTTTGAACAAAATAAAAAATAAATTTTCACACAAAAAATATTGACGGTCAAAAATTTAACAGAAAGAAATGAATGGCATTGTTGTAAATAGAAGGAAACAAATCTTCCCTCCAATTATAAAGCTAGCCAAGGACATTAGTATTCTCCTCCATCTCTTTCATTTCACTCAATCTATATTCCATGGAAAGGATGAGCTAAGTAATTCCTACCAAAGAAACCAAATAAAATTAGAAAACTTTACAGAGAGATAGAGAGGGGCTGGGAGTTCGGGGGATAGAGAGAGAAAGGTTACTAATTTCAATTAAATAAAAAAAAAGGGGGAACTTCTTGGAATTTATTGCTAAATGCTTGTTAAATTGGGTTAATTAGTAGTAGTAAGATGTTTATTTTCAATTAAGTTCTTTTTTTCTTCTTATTTCTGGTGGGGCGTTGAAATTCCTCAATGGTGAAATTATAGGGTTTATGTGTTTGTGAATAGAAATATTAATTTGTGTAATTCCCAGTTAATTATGGTTAAAATGACATGATTAATGATTAAATTAAAGAAATTAAAGCTAACTATGAGGTTTAAACCATGAAATAAGATTGTAATTATTTGGTGTTGTGATGATGTAGTGTGATTTATTATTGATTATGATTCATCTAAAATAAATTATTTTAAGATTGATTTATGATTGTTAGATGTAAAAAGCTGAAAGTATAAAAAATGATAAAATCATTTGAATTTTTGATATTCTAATAATATTATTATGCTTAAATTTTATTACTATGTTTGTAATTTAATAATTATGTATTTGGGTTTTGGATAATATATTTGGTAAGAGAATAGGTATACCAGAGTTTTAGAAAAAGAAATGATTTGGGTTTAATGGATACCATGTATATGTGAAAATTATTTTTTAAATGCAAATTAGTAATATAAAAAAATTAAAAAAATATATGGTGGATACAAAATGATAATAAGAAAAATATGAAATGATATGTTAAATGCAAGTTGAGAAAATATAAAATTGTACTTAAGTTACAAATTGGTACTATAAAAAATGATAATAATATATTTTAATAATTATAACACTTTTTGGTGCTTAGTTTAGGTATTATCTATGGTGCAAATTATGTTCTTTAAAAATTAATTTTTTTTGTTAAAAATTAAATTTTTTTTGTGTATTTCACCGTGTTCTCTAAAAATTAATTTTTTTTTGTTAAAAATTAAAATTTTTATATATTTTGAATTATTTTTATATGCTGATATTAAAATGATTTTAAAAAAATTATTTTTAATATATTTCAATACAAAAAATATTTTAAAAAATAACCATAATTATACTTTCAAATTATCACTTAAAAATATCTCCAATGACTGCATACTTCATACTTGAGAGAAAAGAAAGAAACATAGGTGATATACAAACCTTAAAATTCTTAAAAATATCAACAATGTCACCATCGATAAACCTCGAAACTTTGTAAAATCTCAACAATGTCATTATCAACGAACCTCAAAAATTTGTGAAATCTTAAAAATGTCATCTCCCCGGGTGACTGGATACTTCTGGAGAGAAAAGAAAGAAGAATAAGTGAATCACAAACCCGAAAATGCTGTAAAATTTCAAGATGTCAATAAACCTAAGAACCTTGTAAAATTTTGAAAATACCATTTCTACAGTGAATGAATAGTAAAAGACTGACTTGTTTCTTGTATAATTACTATTCTTTAAAAGAAAATACTAAGAAATCCAAGAAATTAAAAAAAAAGATCAGATTGAAATATTTGTTATTATTGATTAAAAAAATCATTAAATTGTCTTGACGGATAAAATTAAAAGCATAAAAACTTTGAAAAAAAAACAAAAAAACAAAAAATAGAAGGATTAAACCAAAAAATATTATATATATATAAATTAGAATTAAAGACTAAATTGACAAATAATAAAACTTTAACATAAGGAAAAGGAATAAAAAAATAAAAAAACAATTAAAATTAAAAGGATTAAATCTAAAAAAACAATAAAAATAAGGATCATAATGTATTTCTCCGTGTAGGAGAGAGAAATAGAAAGAAAAAAAAGAAAGGATAGCCAGATAAATTAATCACGACACATGCCAAATATATATATAAAAAAAAAGGGTATAATAAAAAACAAAGTGAGATAGAGAAAAAAGATTTTTAATCACCAAGACGTACCACACGCTCTGTTCAATTTGCACAACACCTCTTATATTTCAGCAACTTTTTTAAATAAAAAGTATTAATTAAATATAAAATTACTTCATTTGGCTAACCTAATAAACACACACAAAAAAAAAACTCTTAAAGAAAAGATGTCAATACCTCTTTATACACAATCTATTATTTTTTTACTACAAGGACAATTGTGTAACTGTACTCCACAATTAAAAGGAAAAAATACTAGAGCATCCTTGTCAAGCAATATTAGTTTTTTTTTAATTTATTTATTATAGAGATATTTTAATTATTTTACTTTATATTAAAAGATATATTGATGAACATCCTTAAACAAATCAGTAATAACAAATAAATCACCTAAAAATACCAAAACATCCATAAATAAAAGTCAATCAATTTTCCAGCTAAGATCATAGTCATAACTTCACTACTTTAGTGAATAGTAAAGTGTGTTAATGGCTACAACTAATTTACTCTTTTTTTTTAATTATATTTGTTATAATAATAATAACAATACTAATAATAATTTTTCACTCTATTTTCACAAGGAAGTACAACACCTTTAAACTCTAGTTTTATACAGGGAAGCCTAAGGAGCCTTAACGAAAATAGACTTTAATCTAATAGTTTCAGGGGTTGAAATTAAGAAATTAAAATATCAGGAGTATAGCTGGGTTTGACCAAAAGCTGAGAGAGTCTCTTTGACCAATTAGCTTTTTTTATAAACCAATATCAGGTCCCACACTATATAATTAATATAATTATTTATTAATTTCCAATTTTATTTTTGATTTAAAAACCAATTGGTCCCACCCTTAAACTTAATTTTTATACGATGTTAATATTTTCCTTTCAAATCTTAAATCCAGGTATTTTTAAGATAATATTTATTTATTAAAAATTTTATTTAAAACATCAATATATTAAAATAATTTAAAATAAAAAAATTAATTTTTTTTTTATAACATGGTTGGAACACAAAAACAAGCATAATATATAGATTCATGGTTTGCCTCTCCATGCAATAGATAAACTATAGGGACGAAATTGCTTCTTAATCTTAACCAAACAAAGCCATCTTCTAACTACCAGTCGCCGGTCCTCCACCTGTCATCTTTAAAACGCGTCAAAAAGGAAAAGGTAAAAATCAGAAACAACAAGAACCCTCGCTCTTCTTCTCCCCCCCTCCGAATTTTCCCGATAAAATCAGATATATACCCCCAACCCAAGAGTCCAAGACACCAGCACTCATGATCCCAAAACCCTAATTACGCCTCTGACTACGATGATGCCAATCCATGACCTCTTATCATTAACTTCCAGAATTACTTTCTCAATCTCAGTTATAAATGGGACCAGACCGCATCCTCTCTCCAGACCCATCCACATCAAAATCAAAACCAACCGAATCGGAGAAAGAAAAATTCATCGAATGGGAAGATTACGAGCACGAAGTTGCAAGATTATGGAGTCTCTCTTCTGCTCTCAACGAATCTAAACAAAAGAAGCAAAATTTTGAACAGAAACTTCGCTCCCTTATTCAAGTGAGCCTTTGATTTTTATCGTCTTCTTCATAGATAGATTGATTAATTAATCAATTAATAATAGTTTTTTTTTAAACTTTTTTCTTGGATTATTTTAGCATTCTTGCATGAAATTAAATAATCAATGCATGCATTTAATTAGTTAATTAATTATTTAGTTTGTTTATTTTAATGCTTTTGAATTAAATTGGAGAAATGGATATATAAATCTTATTGATTAGCCCGCGGATTAGCGGGCCTCAATGTGGTGGGCAGGTGAAGGAGGAGGCGTTAAGTAGATTGAATAAATTGGAGGAGATGAAGGAAAGGTTGGAGGCTAGGAAATCGATGATAGAAAGAATTAAAGGGCAATCTAAGGTTGCTGCGGAGAATTCGACAAAAGAAGAGGAGAGGCTTAGTTCGGAAGTTCGATCATTATTAGTTGCTGGCACTGCGCTTTCTGTTGCTAGTAAGCAATTGCAGGTAATTGAAATTTATATTTGATAATGTTAGAGGAGTTTTGTTTGTGTTTTTGGTAAATGTAGTCAAAAGTTTATGATTGATCACATTATCTGTCAATGTTTATATTGTTTTGAGCTTGTTGCATGTTGTGAGTGATGCATCCACCATATAAATAGGATAATGGACGGACTTTGTGAAATTCTAGTGTATCTGAAACTGAGGAAAGGGCCTTCAACTTGGTTGTTCAGTGCAGAAATGAAACTTTTTCTTAGAAATGAAACTGTGTGTTTGGTCCCTGATTAATGCTACAACGCAATATCCCTAAGGTCATGATTTAAAATGCTAGTGGTGCTTGGGAGAATATTGAAGGGGCACAACTTAGTTTCTCAATCGGTAAAAATGTTTTCTTTTGTATTATGATAAGCAAGTTTGGCAGTTGTGCACCTCATAGGCAACTGTTTTTTCTATTTTTTATTGTTTTGATTTCATGAGAAGGTTAGTATCAGATCCCATATGAGTGCGAGAGTCTATAATTGCATAATATCTCAGGCATACGTACGCAGTCTTAGCAAATCTGATGTGCTGAAAATGCTATTAAGAGGCGTGCTGCTTATGCACATTTGTTTCCTATTCATAATATCTCATTTCTTGCCTCCTTAGAGGGATTCCTACAGCAGGTTTTTCAAGTTTATCTTTGTGTTCTATGTGGTGTGATCTTGTGAGTATCGCTGAGAATTGGTAGAAACATGATTGCTCTGAGGTTCACTTCGACCTCAATGGGATGCATTATGTGGAAAGTTTCATTTATGAGCAATAAACTTGTATGAAGAGATAATGATGATTTTATGGTGCCCAAAAAGTTGTCTTCCAGGCACTATGGAGTTGGACATTTAATGTTCCAAAAATGTCCTCGCATGTGGAAGCTTATCTTTTTTCATTTTATTATTTCTTTCCACTATTACTTTGAAGGGTCCAGTCTTGGTCTTACAAAGTGTATGCTGTACATCTTCTGGTCTTCATTTTTATTCCGTGTTATTTTAATTGGAGACTTTAGTTTGTATTCAATTTTTGTATTATCAGTAATTTGGGTTTGTCGCATGTTGTCTTTACATTTCCTAATTTATCCAGGGGCTCACATATGTCCTTTTAGTGCAATCAGCTCTGTTGAATAATTTTTTTTTTTGTCTTTCGGCTTAGTCTCTGGTCAGGGCTTTTTTATAAATACTGGTAATATTGAATGTTTGATCATACTCATGTCAAAGGAATCAAGAAGGTCACTTGCTGGAGAAAGGGGTTATTTTCGCCTCACAAAGTTGCAGAATAAGCTAAGACTGAGACAACAATATATGATATCACAAGTTTCATTGCTTTATCCTATTAAGATATCAGTTGGACCTTCAGAGGAGCAGGAACTTGAATCTTTCCCAAGCAGTAGTAAATCAGGTAATGTGGCCCTGATTTGACACTAAACAAAACACAATGACTTTAAGTTTTAAACAACAGCTGCGATAAAGCATGCTGTTGATCTATCTTATAACTTTCTCTCTTTTGGTTGTTTAGATATCTTTTTGCGAATCATTATGTTCACAATCTTTTGTTGTTTAGATATCATGAACATATCTTGTTGGATCTGCTATTGGTTGTTGTTTCCAAGGCTTTTGAAGCTAGGGTTTCAGGTGTTAAAATATGGAATGTTTTTAAGGGTTGCCAACTGAATCAATGTGTGTGAACAGTTGTGTAAATTACTTTCAACTTTAAACAGTTCATGCTTAAACTGCTATTGGGATCTTCTGGGTCTGGACGAGTCTGAGAAATAGCTCCGAAGTCAATCACAACCCAATCACTACTCGTGGTTTGACTTCTTTAGTTGCTCTATTTATATTACTTTCTTGCATCATTTTTGTACCTGGCTAATATTAACTATCTACTGGTTTTCTTTATTTCCAAATCATTTATATATGTATCTCACTAGTTCTGAAGCCATGCTATGTGTAAGTATATGCTTTCATATGATTCATGGTAATTTCAAATTTAAAGATAGTAACTTCTCTTAAAATTGTGTTGCCTTAGGAAGTGAAAGCAGGTCTAAATGCTTTTTTAGTTGCTTATTAATTTTCTTTTCTCTACCAGGAAACTATGTTGGTTCTAAACCCGTTAATCAAGGATCCTTGACAATTTTAGGTCTGCATTTGACAATGGCTCCCTTTACAAAGATGAGTTTTTTCACCGACAAGAAGGAGGTTCAGAGGTCCGCTAGTGCCCTCGGATATGTTGCTCATGTGTGTTGTTTCTCTTTGCTCAACTATTACCCTTGTTGCTAGGATTATTCTGTTGCACCTATCATGTGTCATTAACTTTCTAGGTTTCTAGCACTGATGAATTATCAACTTCATTTGTGAGAACTATTTAAAAAGTGTGCGAGATAAGATCATATATCTGCAATGAGAACTATTATAGTAAGAAACTGCATTTTCAGGGATTTTTTTTAAAATAACTGTATTGGTAGTTTCCTGGCCAACAATTAAAATGTGCTTTATTTCTGATGGTTCCCTTGCAGACTGTTTCACTTATTGCCTCCTACACTCCTTTTCTCTCTTGCAGGCTGTTTCACTTATTGCCTCGTACTTGGAAGTTCCTTTGCGTTACCCTTTACGTTTGGGTGGTTCCAATTCCTATATTATTGATTGTGCACCTTCAGTAGAGTTATCTGATTTGTTGTCAAGTACATTGTCTACTGCAAATACAAAACCTGTTGAATTTCCCCTCTTTTTAGAAGGTCAAGATACCACGCGAGCAGCATATGCTGTATTCCTTTTAAACAAGGTAAATTATCATTTCTGCCCTTTCTCCTTCTCCATGTTCAGAGGTCATGTCTAATATTATAATGTACTCGATCAAAATATTTTAATTCCCAGTTTTTATCTGTCCTGCTTGGGTTTTCTGTTTTGAAAATCCAAGATTGAATTTCTTTCATGTTCATGAAACTGTCTATCATTATGAAGGTTTCTTGCTTATTGCTGTATCTCTAGCTTGTTGGCCTTAACATACACTATGCTTTTCATCCTCCGTTGATCATTTCTCTTCATTGGTGCTGGCACCAACTGGAGAAGAAGAGGGGGATGTTACTAACTTCTTGGTTTGTGTTGAGCCAGTTCTTTTCAATTTTGTTTCATTCTGTTGATCTTAATTCAAGGAATTCTCTTGGCAAGTCTTTGAACTCCATGAACATCATTCCCTTTACCTTCCTGGCAATTGTTTTTTGTCTTCTCATTTTCCTGTTATTGTTTTTGGTTTCTTGCGAGGGAGAAAATTCATGTTAGACTTTGGTTCTCAAACTATTATATATTCTCATCTTTTATTCATTATTTTGGCTTGATTTTTGTGAGGTGGTATTCGTTAGGGGTTCCTCTAGATGCATAGCACATTACAATCCAGTTGAATTTTTAGCACTGTTTTTATATGCTTTCTCCCAATGATGTTAAAATTCCCATTTGGTTGTAGGATCTGGATCAGCTTTTAAATTACATTGGTGCTAGAAGTTTAGGACCACGGCATGTATTGGCTAATTTGAAGGAGCTTACAAGGACAATTCAGTCAGCAGAATTTTTAGACTCATGATCCGCTCTCCCAATCTTGACTTGAAAGTTAGTGCTTCTTTTGTAAATGGATACCTGTATTCTTACATGGGTGCGAGTTTTTGATGCAGCACCGTGTCATAGATCTTCATATATTTCCACTTTTTATTGATAAAAGCATGGTCAATATGGATTCTTTCTCTAGGAGTCATACAGTCTTGTTACACTTTGCTGAGTTATAGCTTTTAAAAAAAAATGAAACAACTTTCCTACTTATAAGTGGGTTTCCTTCTTCTTCTTCTTCTTCTTTTCTTTTTTAAACACCAGTCGTTTTATGTTAAGAATTCAATTAAAGAGAGAATTTCTGTTCCGAATGAATACTGCTGTCTGTACAACTGAAACTTTCATTCTTCTGTTTTGGAGTTCTGAGGAATATTTCGCCATCAAGTAAAATATCGTGCATAATGGGAGTTATTGTCTCTTTGGACATTCTGGTGTAGGTACGCCAAACCTTAACTTGTGGGAGCAGCAATCATAGAGTTGATTAGCTGTTTTCTTGGCAAGGAGTTGGTTGCTCAGTACTGCTTCTCTGTTCCACCAAGGCTTTGAAGAATAACAAGCCTTCATGTTGGAGTTGTGGGATGGGCATATCCACTGATGCCAAAACTGTAAAGGCCAGCCTTGAATGGGGGATGCTGTCCTCATTGTCATAATCCATTTTAGCCTTGTGACAAAAAAATCGAAGACGATGTTTCCAGATAAAAAAATATGTTTTTTTGGTAAAAGAAAATTTTCAAAAGAAAAGCAGAGATGTCATGTCAAAGGCAGGATTCCAGTCAAAATTGGTCTAAACTGTCAGTTCACGATCAAAACTAACTTTGATTTTGAACAGTAAAATAACGAATTTGACATGACGATAAACTTATGGTGCAATGGGATTTGATTAATCTTATCCATCATTCTCCTTATTGATGGTGAAACTAGCCACGAATGCACAGTGGATCGTGCCACACATGAGCCCATCCTGCATCTATTTCTCTCTCCCATTCGTCGTTCAACTAGCCACCTTATGTCCTCCGTCCAATCACCATATATCTCGTGACAACTACAAACAGACACGCCTCCTCGCTGCGACCAAAACCCAGGGAGTCCCCGTCATTAGCGTTGCCATTAGCAGCGGCAAAAAGCAAGAAAACCAAAGGGGCAATTCAAACTTCATCACCGTCGATATTCCTCCGTGGTTGGTTGTGAGTTACGGTCATCATTGGTGGACAAACAAGATCGAGAGCTTGAGTCATTTTACACGCTAAAATATCATTCGAGTCAATGCCGAGCCACCAACAATAGCAGCACGTGCTCTGAGCTAACAATGTAAGTTTATAGTCAGCGGCAGAATCGTAATTTCACAATCTGACCACGGCAAAACAATAATTTCATTTAGACTAGGGGCATTTCGATAAATTCTCATACCAAAATTTTATTATTTATTTTTAGTTGTTATTAAAAATGATTATATTTGTATGTGTATTATTGATATTTAAGTGAAGTGTTCACAACATATTGTAGGGTGTCAAATTTGAGGAGTCTGAGATTCCAAGATAATTTTGAAGAAAGATAATGATATTGGCATTCCAATGGATTCCAAGATAATTTTGAAGAAAGATAATAATGATATTGGCATTCCATGATGACAGGGAGGATGGACTTGTGATTTAATTTTTGAAGATTTTCTGAGATAGGTGTCAGTTCTAATGCTTGAAGGATTGATCTATCGTTGATATGTGTGACTGATGATTTAATTAATTATTATCATGCATGATTACTTATTAATTTTTTAATTGACCGTACATCTTCATGAAGTGTTTTGTTACATAAAACTATTAATTTTTTTGATTGTGTGACTTTATTTTTCTATACCAGATAAATATTTTTATTATTTTTACATTCTAACCATTGAAGAGATGAATTTCAAGGATTTTAATTTATTTTAAAATCTTCTTTGATTAGTTAGCCCATACCCAATTTATTTGATTAGTTGATTTTAAATTTTATATTTTTTTTATTGATCCACCTATAAGCGGTTCATTTTCAATCTATCCTTTTCAAAATATCATGTTAAATTGGTTCACTCATAAATGATTTGTTTTAACTAGTTAATTTAAAAACCTAAGTTTTTTTTTTTTGTAAAAACCCAATTATAATCTAACCCGATCAAAATAAAATAAAATAATAATGATAATAATAAAATAAAATAAATAAATAAGTATTCGAGAAGAACGTCATTAAACAAAAAAGAAGAAGTGAAAAGACATTAATTTATTAAAAAGGAAAAGATGGGAGCAAATTGGAAAAAGGCTAAACAAAAAAGAGGTTAATATCCAAAATTTAAAAGATTGGACTATATAACTACCTAATTTTTTCCTCTCTTACATAATCGCTAGAAACCATAAAAGAAGGAGAGAATTTGTGTGATTTTTCCACTTTTTTTCTTGCTAATTGCATCAAACTAAGAAGTGTAAATACATTGATTAAAACTAATTAAGCAACTAAGGGAGGTGAATTAGTATTTGGAAGTTGTTTTAAAGAAAGAGATTCAAAGTTAGGGTTAAAGGAAAAAGAGAGGAGAAGAGAACTTGAATATCTCTTGCATCCATTCTTTCAATTCTTATCCAAGTAAGTTAAAGAATATAATCAAAGTTATTAATTGTTATAATTATATGTTTTGATGAAGAAATTAAATTGCTATGATTATGTGAAATTAGAGATTTAGGATACTGAACTTTGAAATGATGCAAATTCTGATTTAACCATGTTAAAAAGTATGAATTATGATTGGTTAAGTATTTAATTAAAAAAAAAATTCCTCTTCCCCTTAAACTATTGGTTTTGGCCAAAAGAAAAAAATTGAGAGATTGGAGAATTTGATGAAATCATTTGGAAATAGTGGGAAAGAAAAGAATTAAGAGACTAACAAGAGTGGTTTTAAACAATGAAGTAGATTATTGGAGAATTAAGAGACTAATAACTATGAATGATTAAAAAAGGAGAATTTTATCCCCCTTGATTTAAAATTTTTATCAAGCCTATTTAAGGGCATCACATTTAATTAAATCAAGAGATGTGTATATAGCATTAAATTGTACTAGTTCAAAAATAAAATCGATGAGAAAGAGGTAGACCTTTAAGTTGAAAAAAATATGGAATGTATGATATAAAAAATGTATGAAATGAGATTTTTATTATTTAATTATAAATGATAAATGACTTGTTGATTTTTGTTGTTACAAAAAAGATTACAAGATTGGATCAACAACAAGGGATCACTTTACATTCACAAATATGAGGCAGATGTTAAACACCTTGTAATAAGTTATTTGTTTATTTAATATTTTATAATGAATTCTCTTTAAATTGTAATTTGTGTCAAAATTATGAAATAAAAGGAAGGAAAATAATATCCTATTGAATGAGTAAGTCAGAAAATTATTTATTGGTTAATGAAAATAATGTTATGTTGAATGAGTGTATTGGAAAATTTTCTTTTTTTTCTAAATACAAAAAATAATGTATTGAAGAAGAAATGACTTGAGAAAATTATATTCTGGTTAACGATGTTAGTTATGGATTGACAAAAATATTATTTAAATTGATTTAATGTGCCCATGATAAGTACTTCATTAATGATTTAGTGAATATATTATTGGGTGTGATTTAAATGATCCTTATTTTATTCATTATCATAAAAGTGTAAGTTTTTATTTATTTATTTAATAGCTATATTTTACATAAATATGTTGTTAGGTATCTCACATTCTTGAGCTAGAAAATAAATGCGTAGATGGAAGTCTTTTGCTTAAATTAATTTTTTTTGCAGTTAGAAGCAATAATATTGTGTTATTATATTATTTATGTGTTAATGAATCTAAATGTTTAAATTATCTTTTGTTAAGGATGTAATTAAGGATAACATTCTTGTTATATTAATATAAAGTTTTATCATATGCCCAATTAAAAGATGTTCATAATCTAAGTTTTATCATTTTTTTTATTGATTGCATCTTTATTATAGACAATTATAGTTTTGAAATCCGGCCTGGCCCGATTGGGTTGACCTGGGACTTTGGTCGACCCGGGGTTGGAACTGGGCCAAGTTGAAGAAAAAATAGGGGAAGAAAAAACCTGTGTGATCCGACGATCCGGCAAGACCCTTTTAAGAACCAGTTGCAAACCCGTTAACTTTTATTGTTTTTTGTTAAAACGATGTTATTTTGATTTTTTTAAAAAATAAAATTTGACCCAGCTGATTTGGTGACTCAGTCAAACCCTAGAATCCGAGCTTTAGATGGGGTCGGGTCTTAAAACTATACAGACAATACATGCCTATGAATTTGAGATGTGTTGATGTAAGAAAAAGAACCAAGATAATTGAATCATAAATATGATACGAATTGTGTCAAAAATAAAAATATTGATAATTTGATATGATCCCATTATAGAAAAAACTCTATTGAATTTTTAGTGAAAAAAATTACACCGAAGAAAAAGCAACACTTATAAATAAATATATTTCAAGTTCCGATGAGCGGTTCTTATTCAATCAATTCCTTTTCAAAATCTTGTGGTAAATTGGTTTATTCATGATTCATTTTTTTTTTTTACCAGCTGATTGTAGAATCTATGTTTTTTCTAATCAATTCACTAATGAGCAATTCTGATTTGATCAATATTTTTCAAAAGCATTTATTCAAATTGGGAGCCCATGTGTAGTTCATTTTGCCCAGTTAATTTTAAAATTTTATTTTTTGATTGGTTGACTAATCAACAATTTATTATTTTTAGCAATTTTTTTTAAACTTGTATTTTTTAATTAGTTCACCAATAACCAATCTTCTTTTCTAAATCTCATGTTGACTCATCCTTAACAATTTATCATTGATCGGCCACTTGAAAACATTTTTTCTTATTGTATTTTCATACATGTAATTTCTTTTATCTGATTACGTTTTGCATGCTATATATATATATATATATACACACACACCAGGGTCACATAGTTGCATTAGGGTTGGTCCATGCCCGATTCCATTAGGTTTGGCATTTCGCCTTGAACAGTATCACTTCCATGACTTGAGGGCAAAACAGTCACATTCCCAGGCGATCTTGAATCTCAGAAGAGTAGATGTGAAGAAATCATGCCATCACTTTGGATCTTCAGACCCAAGTCACGACTTTTCGATCTTGGATTCACAACATCTTCGTATTTTTTATTTTGCGTAAAACCTTTTTTTATATATGTGAAGGATTTTGCATCCTTATCTATGTCATTCAATTTGAATCTGGCCCTTGTATTCTAATTTCAAGTCTCCAACCTCGTTGGGGGTCTGACACAATTTATCTGTAAATTTCGTGAATATTTTTTCTGTGGATGCCAATGAACAGAGTTTTCCTTGTTTCATTGGTCTCGTCTGAAGTAGCTAATATACACAGCAAGAGGATGCCACCTTTGCCGAAGGAAAGAGGGAACAGTGAGGGGCACAATTTCAACCATTTGGGAAAGAATGAAAGCATCCAGTGCTCTTTAATCGACTTCTCGAGAATCTCAAAGGGTTGTTTTCTTCACTCTCCTTACACACACGCACGCACACCTGCTCATTTCCTCCTGTTTCTTGTGTCCATCTTGCTTGCAAAGTTATTAAGCACATAGGCAGACCGTGGACACTCAGGTTATTCTCTTATAGCTTGTATCGATTTTGTAGTGATTAATTTGTTTCAAATTCTTCTTCTATATCCATATGATTTTCTTCTATTTCTCTTCAGCCATATTGAATTGATTGATGCTTTGCAACCATTATAGCCAGAAATTTTCTTTCTTGTGTTTATACAGGAATGGAAGATCGAAAACGGGAATATCTGCAAGCTGATTGCATGGTGAATGTCCTTGGAAGAGCAGGCATGGAGTCACTGCTACTGGATGTTCCTTCATGATTTTATTCTTTGTGCAGTGAATGTTGTTACGAGACTTGTAGAGTGCAAAAAATAGTGACGGCAAAAATATTTCTGACATGAAGAGAAGAGCTAATATTAACTCTTCTTTTTTTTTACCAGGTGTCTGGTCGCTGCACCATGACTTGATGCTAAAACTCATTATCCCAACGCTGATCTTGAAGTGTAAACATTCGGAGAACTTGGAAATGGGAATTTGCTTTAATTTTGATAGAAAGAATATCTGAGATCGGCGCTCACTTACGTGTTCTAATGCTATTATTTGGAAAGAGGGGCATCGGCGCCGCTCATCACCACGCTCATGAGATTTTGCAGGGCTGCAAAAATCTTGTCCATTTAGATGCATGAGCCATTGCATAGGCTGCACGGTATCACTACATTCAATTATGAGGGTTCAAAGCTTGAAGACAGATATGGTGGCTATGTTTATTAAGGTTACATGATGACATCGAGGGACTGAGACGATGACTGTTTTTTTTTTTTAAAACCTTAAGACTTATTATGACATCCCAAGGGAAACTGTTCATAATCGCTTGCGATTACACCCATCTTGGAAATACATCGGGAGGGTATCCTCAAGAGGAGGCCGGAGAGATTGATAGAAATATATTAGAGCTGACTTCTGCATGTGCATGGCATTGAATTTGGGCTGATGTACACAAAATCCTTCATCATTTGCCAACTGCTGCTGCTGCTGCTGCTGCTAGTATGGCATTCTTTTCGCTGACCGGCCGATTAATACGTACGAGTAGGTATTTCTTGTGTGATTATTGTCTTGCATTATACCTGCATAAAAATAAGAAAGCAAAGAAGATTTATTGTTTTACAATTTTTTATACATGTGAATAAAAAATGTAATTGCTTGCAAGTTTTTTGGTAATGTAATATGGGTTTTCACACTCTTTTAATTCCTATAATTTTTGAAAATCTTATTTAGTCTCTACAATTTACTTTATTTGCAAATAGGTTCTTTTTTTGGAAATTTTGGTTCTTGTATCTTCTAAGAATATAGTTCGCTTTTTATTATGAATACCTTTTGTAATATTTTTTTTTTAAGATTTCTTGTAATCATGCAACAGCACTACAAAAAAAATGATAAAAAAAATAATAAAAACACTGAAGAAAAATATTCCGTTAGTAATTGCTAATAAATATGATGATAAAACATTTTCATTAGTAATTTCTAAAACATAAAAAAAAATAATTAATAAAAATTCTATTAGTAATTTGACACATTAACAATGTTAAAAAAAATTATGTTGACAATTTTAAATGAATTAAAACCCAACAATTCTTCTCTCTTCTCTTTAAATAAAAAATAAAACAACCCCTCTCCCCCAAAGTAATTAGCATATTCAGCCACTCCTAATCAAAATCCAACCCGATATTGACCTATATCTATCAGCAGTGTTAAATTCTCTCTCTTAGCTCCATTTATCTCCATTTATTGTTAAGCTTTACTCCACCAAGTAAGTGATACCACTCATTTTTTTTGTAAGCTATTTATATTTTAAGTTAGTTTATTGAAATTTGTTTGTAATATTTATAGTTTACTTGTATATTTAAATGTTGTAAAGATTTTTTTTAAATAATTTTGTTATATTAATATATTATTTGTATTTTAGGGTTTGTTTGGGATTAGAGGGAAATGAATTTTATTTGACACTTGATGAAATTGAGTTTAATTTTGTAACTTAAAAATAATAGAAATAAAAAAAAATTGATAATTTAATGGGTGCCAATTATATTTTGTTCAAGAAAAAAGTAATTTTTGGTGGAATTGACAATAAGTTTAAATGCATTGATTTAGGTTATATAAATTTGAATTGAATAAATGATGGGTAATTAATTAAGTATTAATTTTCTTTAGTTGATATTTTGATGGAAATTTTAATTTGTGTGGAATTGATACCGATTAGGGTTTAGTATGTTTCAACATATGAAGAGTTTGATAGTTATTGGATTATGAATCCAATTTTAATAAACAAAATACATTTTTTTATTGATAATTACATTGTTAATAAATGTTATCATTAATATTTTATATAGATTTCACAATTAATGGATATTGGTTCTTAGATTTATTGAAAGTTAAGTGAAGGGTTGTATAAACAAGATTATTTTAAAAGGATTAAAAAAATGTTGACGAAAAGAAAATTCTCAATGGTACACTTTCTGACAACATATTTCTTCTATCAATGAATTTATTAGCAAGTAAACTACCCATGAAATGTTTGTTTGTATGCCAATGAAATATTCCATCAATGGTTTCTAATTTTTTAGTTGTGTAAATTTATTACATTAACAAAAAAATATGGGGCATGATTTTTTTAACTTAGCACTAGATACAAATTACAATGAATTGCTATAATAAAATTATTTTTTTGCCCTTCATTGGAGAAAATATAAGCGTTGATGTTGGGGGCAATTTCATCTTTTCCAATGACACATTGATCCTAAAAGAATTGTTATAGGGTATATTCATCTTTTCCAAAAATTTTAAATAGTAAAAGACTTAATTACCTTCAAGATAAAAAAAAATAGAGTTGTTGACTAGGGGTATTTTTGTTTTTTTATTTCTTAAAATACAGTTGAAAGATGCCTTTTCCTTTAGAACAAAAATAATAATAATAATAATAATAATAATAATAATAAGATATGTTTTTAGATGTATTTTTTTTCATTTCAGATAGGATTTTGTAATTTCTAGATATATGGAGGGCATTTACATATTTTTATGTTGGATAATTGATTTTTTTTATTAGAAAAATATTGTTGTGTGCTTATTATGCACTAAAAAGTGGGTGGTGCAAATGATGCTACTCGATGGCTAAACTTGTCATCTTGTCATGTCGTTAGATATGCTATCGTGTCCTCTTTCTCCTAAAGAGGCACGTAAGGGTGGATGATGAATAGTTTGTAGTCGATAGTTATTTTTTTATTTTTCTTCTTTTCTCTCTCCTACTCTAAAAAATAAATATTAATCCTTTTTGTTTTTAGTATTTCAATTTAGTCCTTGTTCTTTTAATGTTTATTTTTAACCCTTTTTTAAAAGTTTTTTTTGTTTTTAATTTAGTCATTCAATTGCAATTTTTCATATTCTTTTTTTTCAATTGAGTTCTTATTCATTTTTTTTCATTAACTCTTTTGTTAAAGTTTTATTGGTTTTGGTTTTCATCTTTCCATTAAAGTTTAAGTTATATATATATTTTTTAATTTGGCCTTCATTTTTTTTGTTAAAATTAATTTTCTTTTTAATGTAACACTCCAATTAATTTTTTTGTCCTCTAATTTATTTTTTATTTTATTTTCACCCTCATTATTCTACTCTCACACACACACATATGTATTAGATTTTTTATTTCATTGATTTTTTTTTAATTTTATCATTCAACGTTTGATTTGTTGGGGATTAGACTTCATAATGCTTTCGATATAATAATCCATATCACAAGTTTAAAAAGTTGGCAATTCAATATTTTTTTTTTCATTGTTCTACACTATCTAATTTTTTTTTTATGGTTATCTTTAATATTTTTCTATCGATTTATCATAATCTCATAACCTCGACCACATATTTTGCATACATTTTTTTAATAGTGAATTTTTTTAATCTTTCTGTGTAGTTAATTTTTAAAGATATTATCATGATTCATCTATGATTGTTTTTTGTTTTATATAAATAAAATTTATTTTTTAAAATAAAAAATATTTATTTTTATATAATAATTCTAATATGTTCTGCCTTGTATAATATTTATTTTATTTTATTTTATTCAACCATTTTTTATTTGTTTCCATTTCTATTATTTATTATTAATTTTAATAAATAAATTTAATACATAAGTTAAACATCTTATTTTCCAGAGTCACATATTTTAATTTATATTTATCTCTTAATTTTTCTTTTAGTTATTTTTACTCATTTTTATTTATTTACAGAGATTATTATCTTTTTGTTTAATTAGATGTTTCCATAAGTTTTTTAATTTACACTTTGAATATATATATATATATATATCAAATAGCTAGTATCTTTTTATTCTAGAAACCCTTTTTACTATAAATAACTTTTTTTGCAATCACATTCCCATTTGCAATGTGCAAAGTCATTATAAATGTAATCGTCTATTCTTTTTCATAAATTTGAAAATCACAAAACCAAATATAGGAATTCATTATATTATATAATAATATGTTAATGAGTTAAAATAAGAAAGTTGAAAACCCTAAATAAATCAATCTTCCAAAGCAAGTGCAGATGCATCGAAACAAAGGAGCTCCAAAACGGTCTCGTTGAACTCCCTTAGAGGTGAGACACGATGTTATCATCTTCTTCTTTTGCTTTTTATTCGGGTGTGGATTGATTTTCTGCATGAAATTCGATTCAATGGTCACGAGGTAGAAAAAAATAATAACAGAATTAATGCTTTCTATCCTCATTAGCTATATATATATTGAGAGTGACCGGTTAGAATAAATACCTGCACGGTTGCCACATTATCTTCACCGCTATTCGCCGTCTCAATTGAAGCACTCATCAGCATCCTTCTGTTTCTTTTTACAGCACCCTCCATTTAGAGGATCTCAGGAATCTCAATTGGCTAAAACTAAAAGCATATAGAGTGGATCCATCAACATGAGAAGCCAGTTTACATCAGTCCTCGTCATAGCCACCTCCATCCATTTCACCATCTTCTAAGTCATTGTCCTCTGCTTGTTCTTCATCAGCATGTCCCCGATGTACATCCAAGAGCTCATTAATCTCCATGTCCTCTGTGTCAAGTCCATCTGGTAGTGATCTCTCCACCTTCATGGAGTTGAGATTTGAGTCACTGAAAAATGAAGAGTAGGGCTTCGAGACCTACAAGAGTAAGACTAGCTTTGTTAGCTGGACCTACAGGCCAAAGTAATTTTGCCATCAGAAATATTTCAAATTTCATAATTTGTTGACTGTCAAAAAAAAAAGGGAAAGGAAGAGAACCCACATGAATGAAAGAAGGAAACACTAGGAGAAAAGGAAAAGAGATAAAAAAACAAGGGAAATAGTAGAAGCAAATGGGTATCCACCTTGAATAGAACATTTCTCTTCTCGGCACTTTCCACAAGGTTGTTCCAATGCTCATCATTCCTCAAAGTTGATGCTGACCCTACGACCTAAAACAAAAATCAATGATTAGGTTGTATGAGAAGGTGAACGATGAAACTTATCAATACATCCCTTGAAATAACAATACTATATCAGACAAAAACCCTACCAGGACAGAAGACTTAGCGCGAGTGATACCAACATTCATTCGCCGGGCATCAGATACAAACCCAATCCTTCTATCATCATTTGACCTAACACATGAGAATATTGCGACATCCTTTTCTCGACCCTGGCAAGTGAAGGTGTTTCACATTTATGAGTTAGTCTTGTATTATTTTGTAGAATTCATTATTTGTTTCTTTCAAGTGATATTTAGGTTAACCAGACCAAATATTGGTCCTTCCACTGAGCCATTATAGTTACTACCAGTTCAGAGCTGAATATAGTGATCAGAATTTTTAAGTGCTCTTCTAAAGTTACAGTAAAAGAATGCATAATGTTCCCTATAGATACATCTCTGCAATAGTCCATCTCTCTTTTTGCAGAGAACATATACAGTCAACATGCCTGCCAGATAAAAGATTACGCAGTTCCATCTAGCAAATAAATAAAAGCTAGAAATTGATGATAACATAAGACCATTCAGAGACCAAATAAATAGCTTTATTAGTGGACAAACCTATTTACCTGGAAACCATCAACAGTTTGAATATCCACAAATGTTTTGGACTCCTGCCCAAAAGCATCCTGAAATCGATCCTGGAAAAGCTTGACTTGGTGTCTATAGGGTGATATAATTGCAAACTGTGAGCTCGACCTAAGCTCTGGATACATGGTCACCAGTTTATGATACAGGAGTAGCACAAATTCAACTTCATCAACATTCACCCAGGACCCACTTCCAGAAGGCTGAGATTCTTTCCCCTCATGTACATCAAAGAAGCAAAATGGACCAAAGCAGTGATACTGATGCCAATCACGTGTTGTCCTTCTCTCAAGATCATCTGCATCCTGCAGTGCCTCGGCATAAAATTCACTTGAAGGAAAGCTCCTTATCTGTTGGGCAACATGTAAATGGAGTCAGATAGCCGATACACCCTTTCTTGCAAAAAAAAAAAAAATTAAATTAGAGGGAAGAGAATACAGATCATAGTTTTAAATCACGGATGCCGTTGCAATTGTAATTATGGGTTGTTGCCTATCGCAGGCATAAAATAATGGTCGAGGACAATGTTGTGATGAATGCATCAGCAACTCTTAATAAAAAATATTATTCACATATTTTTTGAAGTTCTATCAAATAAACATGATAATAACGCTTCTAATAATTCCTTTTTTGTTATAACACACTTCTAATGTATTATCAAAAACATATAGAAGTATATTTTAACTAATAATTTAATATCATATAAAAAATTGTAATGTATTACAACTTAAAATTCATGTTACCAATATAAAATAAAGTATTTTAAAGCATATACTTTAACTGTTAAACTAAAATGATAAGACATATGCCAAACACAAATATTTAAAATAAATAAATAAAGTTGAGTTAAAAATGACCTCAATTAGTTGTATTCAGGAGTGTATCTCTTACAAGCACATAATTCACCTTTTGAATTGACTTGGTAAAATAATAAAAAAGAAGTCTGTGATTGAGCGAAAATGGTGGAGAGTTGAATTAAAAGACAAAGATGAGTCTAGAGAGGAGAAAAAGGATAATTGAGTATAAGCGTAGCATACTACTAGTAAATCCATAGAAGTTGGAATTGCTTCTTTTGTGTAGCATCTTGAAAACAAGCACAAACGGAAGTCAAACTCTGAAAACTATCAAGGCCCTTTTTTGAAAATAACAGATGTTATCTTCGAAATAACAGCCATAATGACCGTTACAGTTACATGACACAATTTGTGTAGCATCTTCAAGGCCCTTTTATGGAAATACCAGACGTCATCTTCAAAATAACAGCCATAATGACCGTTACAGTTACATAACACAATTTGACCGATAAATGCCATGACAACCTCAATCACAGTAAAAAAAATAAAAAGAAAAAAGAAACGCCACTGTTTGAATCCATTAAATAACTCCCATTACAGCTTATAACAATCTTTATTCAAAACTATGATACAGATGAATAACATGACACCTCAGGTGCGATGTTGATAGATAGTGTCCTATACCATGTCAACAAGTCAATTAGGGTGGTTTAGATTCTACAAAGACTGGATTCTTCTCTTAACATGTTTTTGAAATAGGGAACAATTGGACAGTAGAAAAACATTATGTGAAAGATTATATATCTAACTTAGTGAGCAATAAATTTAAGTTGAATGAAATTAAGTGCATGAAAAAATTTCACACACAATAAATTAATTGATGAACAATAGCATCACAGGTTTAAAAAATTTCTCAATAACAGACTTCATAGCACTTGAAATGAACTAATGAGGTCAAAATCTAAAAAAGAAATGCCACCATGCTGGGCGGCTTACAGCTTATATTAATTACTCTGACAACATTAAAAACAGATCCAGCCAAGCATGTTCAGTTTATCAAAGTTGAGTAAAAGATGCTAATTAGCATTCTTTCCAGTGGTGGTTTGATAATGAACTTCGATTTAAAAATATGATATGTTGCAATTGTTATCATAACCATAAAACTTAAGTTCTTCACAGCATTTATTGAGATTCTCAACTGACCTCTGGATGCATACGATACTGCATCTTCAGCATATTTACTGGATAACCAGCTCTTTGAAACCTTTCAAACAAACTCGTGCCATAGCTTTAATTTTAAAAATGAGAGAGAGATTAAATATTTTAATCCAATTATCAACATTAATGCAATGATATGAAACAATAACAGAGAGAATATATCACTACCCAAATTTCCCAGCAGTGGGAGAAATTACAGTGGCTGGGAGTTGAACTGGATCACCAACCTGAAACAAAAAGTTAAGTGAGTCTGACAGCTATTCATAACACTCTTCCCTATTTTCTAAAGCAAAAACAGGATACTATCAGAACTGCCAAATTGTCCAATAATCACTTAATATTGGTATGGATTTTAGAAACCTGCAGCATGTTATAGCACAATGAATCACGCATGAAGATCTCAAGTCAAACTAAAATCACAAAGGTGATGTCAGAAAAATACCAGAAATACTTGTTTGCATCCATTGACCAATGGCACAAGAGTTGCTGGTTCGACCTGTTTAAGGGTAATATCACAAACCCAAGTGAGGAACAACTGCATCTCAATGTATCAACATTAACAAAAATAAAATAAAATAAAATAAAATTGCAAGATGATTATAAACTGGGAAAAGCTATCTTTTGAGCAACAGCAGCACTGACTAGCACATACGCTATAAAGCAGCCCACATGTGAAGTATAATTGATGGTGCCACATATCAAAATGAATGAACCTGAATGCTACAGTCAACTAGTCAAGCCACACCTCCATGCTTACATTTCCTTTCATTTTCAACACATCTAATTTTCATGAAATGCGGTGTCATGCTTGAGATATCAATTGCCATCTGCAACATAAGTTTCTATCTACCTAACATATTACCCATCCTAGCATTTTGTCTATGCAATAAATGCATCATATGATTTATGTGTTAAAACAATTACTTCAACACCCTTCAATTCAAAAGTTCGTAATGTTCACAAGAAAATTCAAGTAATAACTCATTGATCTTGATATCATTGTTTAAAAAAGGAACACAAGTAACATTTCTAACACAAGATGTGTCTTGAACCAGCTGATCACCACTTGAATATCTTTTTACATTTCCATTAATCTGAGAGCTTCAGTGCAGTTATTTTTTGTGAATTCAATTCATAACAGTCTTAAAGGCACCCACTGCATATGACTAACAAGAATGAAGGAGATGATGACCACTTACAGCTTGGGCAGCTTCATCTATAATAACAACATCGAAACCATGGTTCAATTTACTAAAAAGTGCCGAACCACTGAAGCTGAGGGTGGAAAAGACCTGCCAATACAGAAAAATTACTAAGGGAGTTTACATGATGCTAGATTCCACTTTCAAGACAGTTGGATTTCCATACAATTACAGATTCCTCTAGAATAGCAGCACGGATGCTGTCTATATCCCCTCCTGCAGTTCTATGTTTCTGTTTATCAGAAGCTGATTCGCCTTGTTTTTGTTTCACCTGAAGGAGAAATCAGTCATATCAACCTTCAAAATAACACACAGTAGAAGTCTCTAGCAGTGATATGCTGTATCAAGAATATAGAGTTTTGACATGGACCTTTTTCTTGCCAATGTGAGTTCTTAAACTTCATGGATTACTTATATGATATGTAGATCATATGACATGAATAATGAAATGCAATTTGTTTTTCCTTGGAAAAAGGTGAGGCGCTATGCATATGATATGCTGTATCAAGAATATAAAGTTTTGCATGGACCTTTTTCTTGCAAATTTGAGTTCTTAAACTTCATGGATTATTATATTGATATGAAGATCATACGACATATAAACAATGAAGTGCAATTTGTTTTTCTATTCAATAGGTGGTCCACCATGGATGCATACATTGACAAACTTTTATAATTTATCCACCAAATTGTACGAGAAAAGGTAAACCAAATATAATGATTAATAGTTCATCATCAGGAATTGGAAGGTATTATATTGATTTAATCACATTAATAATCCCAATATTTGGCAAACATATAATTCCCACTTACTATCCTTTTATGATTTTATAGTTCATTGACTTTATTAATTAGCTTTGGTTTCACTGCATTGGTTGATCTGTTGAATCAACTAAGTATTTGAAAATATCTTGTAACTAGATTAAATCATCCCAAAAAGTTGTTCTGGAATAATGGATTAGCAAACGGTTCTATTGAAATCCTAGCACTTCCTCTTTCAAATGCACACAAAATCCTTTGTTTGGCAATCTAATTGAAGAAATCTAGATATTGCAAAATTGTGGGAGAACCAGTACTAACAAAAACAAGAATAGCAACAAATTTCGTTATGCAATCCAAATAAAGGACACCAGGATAATTGTAACACCATGCACGAATAAATAGTAAAAAAAATAAGAATTGCAACAATAACAAGTGTTTGTTATTAGGCCAAGACATACAAGGTTATCCATGCAGACTGACTGGACAGAATGATGAGCTTTAAGACCAATCCGCACAATTTTAGGATTATATGAACGGACATTTTCATCATGAACACCTGCAAAAAAACAAAAAGAACAGTTTGTTTTAGAATGACAATCAAAGAGTTGAATAGAATTTGCACATGCACGTGTGCGCGTGGAGCACTATCCTATCCACAACCTTCATTTCTCAGATTAGGGTATGTGCATGGATCTAGGGGTCAGGCATATCAAATTTACATTTTAGGATAACAAACTCTGACTGAAAGTACCCGCATTTTGGAAGAGGATAAGAGGGAAGCACAGCATCTGCACAGAAAAACTAAACAAGGAGCCACGCCTATTCCTAATAATATTTCATCATCTTAATTCATGATGATCAATGGTATACTCCAAAAAGATCATTTCAGAATCACAACCCAAATCTCTCACATCAAACTTTTGGCTCACCCTTTTCAAGAACAACATCTGCACAGAAAAACTAAACAAGGAGCCACGCCTATTCCTAATAATATTTCATCATCTTAATTCATGATGATCAATGGTATACTCCAAAAAGATCATTTCAGAATCACAACCCAAATCTCTCACATCAAACTTTTGGCTCACCCTTTCAAGAACAAAGGGCTAGTGACTCCGAAGATGTTGGGTGCTTAGTTCCCACACTAACACAGATCCCATATGTCCTGTCAATGTCAGTTTCCCAGGTGTAGACGCAAAGTGCAAGCAACAGATTCAACAACCCATCCATCTACATGCAATCCTTGAAAATCGTAGCATTTCTCTAAACATAAATACAGTAGATGACATCTAAAACACCTGATTTCCATGAAGAATCTTTCCCTCCAAATACTCAAAATGAAACTCAATAGATTAGCCATCCTACTTGAATTACCCATTGAGAAGATGGAAGCCATCAACAAATTTGACACCAAACATGGAATCACCCATGAACCCCTTTCAGTAGCAAATAATCCATCCTACAGTCATTCCCCACTACTGAGTACAGTAAGAAATGATGGCTCTAAAACCCTCACTTTGATAGCACATTAAAGAAATATTAGGATACTAGTCATTGAGCACATCCAGTTGAAAAACAATTAGAACAAATGGGAAATAATTGATCAAAGCCTCTCAGGCAGTCAGATACATAAACATGGTAAGAATAAACATGGACAGGTCAGACATAGCATTCTTTCTTTAGAAGTAAGGAAGAAAAATGAACTTGGCATCAGCAGTTTATGTTGGGTATTGGGAACCACGCTAATCACCAGGTGGCTCCAGGACAGAATAATGATGACCAGAGACCAGCTGGAAGAAGAATAATTTAACTACCAAGTTGCAGGATGCTTTTCAGAACAACTATAGGCTAGTTTTGACTTTTTCCTCACAGAATAGAGCTTTCGGCATTTTGGAATATGAAGTATGAAAAAGTGATGTTAAGATAGTTGCGTGAAGAAAAGAGAAATAAAAATGAAAAAGGTACAGGGGATGATACTATCAAAGGCTTACTTTTTGCCTTCTACATATTGAAGATTGAATTGAATGGCCAACAATAAACGGAATCAATCTTAAGCTGGACAAGTAGAAAACTTAGTTTCTTAAGAACCGACAGAGAACATAGCCTTGGATAGAAAGTGGAATGGAGGAAAAGTTTAAGGGGCAACCCCGACTTGTTTAAGACAATTTCCTCTGGTTAATTCAATTAAAACACTCAAATTTCATCATTGGTTTGAAAGTCCTGCATCATTAATAATTTGTTTTTATTTTCTAAGATAACTCAAGCGTATCCAGGAAGGAACTGCTACCACACTTAACTTCCTTCACAAGAAAATGAAATAGGAAAACATTATTGTCTCTGCATCACTAATATTTTTATTCAGGATCTAGCGTATCCAATACATAACTAATACCACACTCAACTTCCTTTACAATCACATGAACCTTGGCCAAGTCCTACATTGCCTTGATGTCTTCATAAATCAATGGAGCTAATGAAAGAACGATAAAATTCAAAATGGACAGAACAAAAAGCCCGAACATCACGAATAATTATGTCATGTCGAAAGGAAGCAAACATAATGAAATACAGACTTGCAAGTGTGGAAACACATACCTGTCTTGAGAAGGCGCAACACTATTTCATCTAAAGCAGAGTTTGATGGGGCACATACCAACACACGTACATGATATTTGCGACTGGAAGCAATGACTTCTGGTTTCTGCAGAGCTTAAGTTTGAATTTAGAATGTGCAGATCTTACAAGAACATAATTGTACAATGTGAAAATTCAACTTACAAAATCATTTCCACTGGTAGGGAAAAAACCATCATCGCCATCTTTAGGCATGTTCTTATCTCTTGGATTGTTACCAGTCCACCATGGAGAAGCTCGTGCCCAATGATTGTACCTGCAAATTATACAACTTTCATGGTTCAGTAGAAATCAAAAGTTGTCTTTCTCATTCTATTGAGCTTTTAAAAACCAAATAAGTTCAAAATAAAATGGACTACAAGAATGTTAAAGTAGGAAAAAAAAAATTAGACACTGCAAGACAGTTAAAAAGGTAAGCAGATCGCATATGTAAAACTAAGAAAACAACTGGCACGTACTTTTCTTGAATTGGTAGTTCTGACCCGCGTTTAGTTTCATGCAACCCAGCCCTGCATAAGAGAATAACACAGTAAACTTATATTTCCATAAGCAAGAGAATCTTTTACCAGATAGGGAACCATGGGTACCATACCCATCATATAGAACATAACATCAATGCATATGAAAAGCACAATTCAATTATCTCGCATCATCTACACCGTCAACACTCCCAATTTTTATTTTTTTTTCTATTGACAATTAAAATAAGGATGACTCATCTCCTGCAATCACACTTTTGTTAATTTTTTCAACAACAAAACACCAAAAACAATCATTAACTGACTTGCAAATTTCATTTTGCTCAAAAGGCATTCCAATCTTAGCGAGCCATGTCATCCGAATACCATCAAATGTGAAATCATTAATTGAAGGCATCCTAGCCACTCACTCGCAACAAAAGCTTCATATAGAAATTAAAAACAACTTTTATAGTTTTGTTCCTCTATCACGATCCCATCAATTCTGCTTTGCTTATGAAATAGTGTTTCCTATGATAATTTTCTGTTTTCTGCAATAAATCTAGTTTCTGTTGCCTACTTTAAGCCTGATAGCAAGAGATTTCTTTCTCCAGGCAGGCATGAATCCATAGATCAAAAAATTGTGGTTGATGTGGGGGCCTAGAATGTGCGGTTTTGGTTCTGAGGGGGGCATTTTGTAAGAGTATCTTTAAAAATTCTATACATTCAAAGATGATTTATGGGAGCTATGACCATTCCTGGATTTGTTTCTATCTTCAAAAGATCTCCAATTCAAAAACTTGAGACAACCTCTTACCACTTCTCCCTGAGACCACTCAAACTTCACTTTGATTGAGTAAACTCATTTCAGTTATGCACTTCCCTTTACCTAACTCTGAAAGCTTCCAACTTTGAAGCTAGAAGTTGTTCCTCCTTCACAGATATCACAAAGTGATATAACATAGAATCATCCCTGAACCTCTTGTTTCTAAGAAAAAAACAGCAAAGGAAGACCCAATAAAGCATATATGTTCAAAAAGTAAAGGAAGTGCGTCATGAACAATCTTCCATCCAAAAAGGTACAAGTGCCATGAATCTCTATGTGAAACTAAGACTATCCCATCTTTGATCAAGTTCACCAGGCGCAACACAGAATAAACCTCTAGAAGGCTGCTCCATCAGATCATAAACATGAAAAAAAAAAAAACCATTTCAATTTTTTGGTCCCCAAAACCAAAATTTGGCTAAATGGTACCTAAAGTAATAGTCAAAGTGCCATTGGTCCCAGAAAAAAAAAAATCCCATGCCACTAGTAGCTTGACAAATTGTTTGATTTGATTTAGGACACCAGTAAATTTGAATAATAAAAGCAGGATACGTGAGTGTCATGCGTTTTCCACTCAACTTTTCCTCCCATAAGTATTATAAAATGATAAGAAAAATGAAAACAAACGATGAAAGGGACTTAATTTTTCTGTTTGATGAAAAAAATAAAATAAAAGTTTTGACTGATAGCTAATACACCCACTACATCACTCCAAGGCCAAACACTGAGCACAAGGCAGGACAAGAATTTAAAATCATTTGGGAAATACAAACAATAGGCAGCATACAAGGACAATGGGAAGCTCAGAAAAGAATAGTACACAAAAGTGGATCCCAACAAGGTGTTTGATGTAATTTTTGGAAAGTAGGAGATGGATGCTTGGACTTGTCAACACATAAAATTTAAGATTTTAAAACAGGAAGAAATACAAATTTTAACAACCTTAGAATCTGCATTATATTTAACATTAACTGAACTTTTAAACAAGGGAATGTCAAAAGGAGAAACTCATATTTAAATGAAGCACATGATCTTTCAAGACACATGATTTTTCACTTTTCTTTTTAGAGTTCAACTGGTTCAGAATTCAAAAGGGCTAAGGAAAGACAAAGCCAGTAATATGCATGCTGCAACAGATAACTAACAATGATAGAGTGATTAGTTCAAATAAACTATAGAGAGACAACAATCCTTTAAAGACTAAGCAAATGCTCTAAACAGCAAAATGGTCCTGTTCCTTCTCTGGCAAGCCATAGTTTTCCTAAAAATTGATGAGACTTGTCCTTTCTGTCTTACAACTCAATTTCACCTAATTTTTACCAAAAATAACATAACCATAATCATAAGACCTCCATAAACCAACTTCAACCACAAAATCCATTGTAATTAAGTTCTAAACAACAAAAATTAAGCCTAATATCACCAACCATTTGTAACGTTCGCCCATCAATCTATCTTTTCCAGCAATATCGATACTCAAAAATCCATAACCAGTTAAATTGTGATGTTAAAAGTCCGATCCATAGTCGTTTGCAGCTATTACCTCGACTCTCTCTCTTCTCCTCCTCCCTAACATAACTTTCTCTCTCCAAAAGGCTATAGAATTGGGAACTTGATTAATAATTTCGTGTGGTCTCATTTTTTCATTTATCTTTTTCTTTCATTTTGTATTTTCATCAAATAAAATAAATTAAAACTTTCCCCCTTTTGTAGTGAACATTTGATTTTCACATGACCAGCTTCGATTAACAATTGAGTGGAACCCTAACTGGATTCAATGGTGGATTGAATCAAATCAAGCAACTTGTGAAGGAATCTCTAGAGTAATTTGTTTTGTTTATGAACAAGTAATGGCATTTTGACCTGATAGTTCAGGAGGTTGGGCACCTTTCATCCCAAAAATTTAGCACATTTGACCATTCTTCATCTCCATGATACCCCAATTACTTTGAGCAGCATCCCTCCCACAACAACCTTTATCAGTCAAAAACATCACAACCATTATTCTTCAATCTCCATGAACTTCTATTCACCCCTAAATAAACATTGACGAACCATAAGGTAAATGCAAATGGCAGATTGGTTGCATTACAAATTGCTTAAGACAACAGCAAATGGTAAAAAACCTAAAACTGATGCCAAAATTATATAATTTATTAAAAATGAGAAGCAAATGATTAAAAGATCCATAAAAGCAAATACAAGTCAGAAAAATTCTCACATGGTGTGCACTCTTGTTGGAGTTGCATGCAAAATTGCACTAAGAAGAGCGAGGATAGTTTGTGTCTTCCCGGTTCCAGGAGGACCCTAGAAAAATATAAATGACTCACAAAGGTTATAGAAATATGAAATGAAAGGAATTGTGATTATAATGCCTGTGAGTTTATGAAGGAATACGATAAGATTTTCCATACATTAAGTGCAAGTACTTATTAATTTGTAATCATTTAAAGAGGACTTTTTACAAATACATAGTACTCTAAAATAACATGGTACTTTCATCACACTTTATTGCTAGTAATTATGGCAATTATAGTGAAATTAGTTAAATTACGAAATGATAAGATTAACTTCCACAGCACAATAAGTAAACATGCTTAATAGTTTGTAATATTATGAATTGAATGGTATTCTATTCCTTTTTCAAGGAATAATACTTATTGAGTTGCAGTTGTATAATATCATTCAACATGTAGCACAATTAAAGAGTGATGAAATGTTTTTTTTTTTCCAGCAAAATAAGTAAACCCACTAAAATTTTGTAACTTAAAGTAACTATAATCACAATGCCTTCAAGTAATCATAGAAAAGTCCCAATGTCAAATTGTAACTAGCATCGATATTTGATAAAATCCATGTGACTTCAACATGATATTATATTTTATCTAACAACTCCTAACATAAAAGTTCAATATAGTTGGTGAATTGAATGGCTGCCACTATTTTAAGCAACCATAAGATGAAGAAAGGAAAGGGATCAGAATAAACACATGAAAGAGACACAAATCAGACCTGTATCAAGACAAAGGCTTTGCGCAATAGACCAGCCTGCAAGAAAAAAAAAAGTTACTTCAGATGAATAGATAGATAGATAGATAGATATGTATCTTTTGGAGGGGAAAAAATCAAGTATCTTAATGCTCATACTTTAACCATTCAAAAATAAGTAGTGGGATCCACCGTATATCTAGATATCCTTAGAATATCATTAAAAGGATTAGTTATCAGCTCATGTTAAAGAGCTTTGGGCTATGATTTTGTTTCCTGTGTTATTTTACAGTTACTGCCAAAATCTAGGTGTTTTGTCATAGAAATCTGGAATGCGAAGCTGTATGTGAGAAGATTTGTACCTTCTTCATCATGTTCTCTTTTAGTTGATTTGTATTTAGAGAAATGAAAGAGTATTTGACGAGCACAAAAATTCTAGGAATGATATATCTCTGCACATACTTTTTTATAGTTTTGGAACATACAAAGCACTGAATTCTCATTATAATAATGAGCCACTCATTAAACATAAAAGGTGTTCAGCTGTTTCTAGTTTTGTTTGTGTGCTTTCAATGTACATGACAAGGTACATCACACGTTAGTGAGAAAAGGATTGAAAAAAGTATTTTCTAAAATATAAGCAATTTTTAGAATGAATGTACTTGTAACTAGAGGGAGGAAGATCTAAAATTGATCGGCATTAAAGTATTAGCATAAACTCACATCTATTGCTTCCATTTGTGACTTATTAAGACTTCCTTGAAAATGTTCAGACAGAGGTTGGGAAACTTTCCATGCCTGGTCTTCAGAACCGGAACTTTTATCAGCTGCTGCTAGTATTAAATCCTTGAAAGGAAGAGAGCCAATTGACCGCAAAGCAAAGTATTCACGAGAGATCGTTGATAGGCTGCATATCTGCAGAATGTAAAGCATGCATTATAGAACCTAATACAATTATGATAACAAATAACTTCAAGGCTGTTGTTTCTATTTAGTGTACCACACTTTATACATGGATTGCTATGTTTAGGAAGAAAATCCTTACAGCTGGGACAGAACAATGGGGAAAGAAAAGGAAAAAGAAACATGCTAGCATTGACCTATATGTGAATCCAGCAGCTTGATGCAATATGATACTAAAGCACGATTCTACACAATCAAGAATGGTGAAATTACTAACTTTATTCTACAGAAAAAGTGGGCATGGATGTGTATCAAATCAACTATTCAACAATTAAACTCAATTAAATTCTGAATTCAACAAAAAACCATTTGATAGTAAAGCTATATTTCAAATGTTATTTCAACACACATATCTATAACCCACCTAAATTTACTTAACCCAAAGTTTACCAAAGAGCAAACCAACCATCAATGTCGGAAATCAAATAAATTAGGAGGCAATCAGTTCTTTTTTTTCTTTCTTTCTTTGGTTTTTTCCACTTACTGACGGTAATACACTTTGAAACAAACCAACTACATGTATATAGCTCTATGCATAAACAAGTACATGCAGTTACTTAAACAAGAGATATGGAACACCCTCCTATTACAAGCAAACCAATGAACAAGAGAAATAAAAAAATGAATTCTAACTTCTTGTCTTAAAATTTAATACTGATGAATGAAGTCAATGTGTGAAATTCTAGAAATATGCATTGAAATTTTCAATTGCTAGGAGGAGGATTAAACAAGGATTAAACAAGTACACAAGCAGTTAAACTCGCGCCCGCAAATTGGATGCCAATTGCAAATGTATAAAGCAATATAGCTGCAAAGACTTTTCAGATGAAAGTAAAAGCACATGAATCAAATTGATATGTGAAGCTTGAATTTATACAGCAAGAACAACAAAGCTGCAACACCAAACTAGTTGGGGCTGGCTATATCTATCCTTTTACACCATTTCACATGATTAGCAGCTCTGGATTTATATTTTAAAAAATTATCCAAGAAGATACCCATGTATTGTTCCATCACAAGCAAAACACGCAAGCATCATATTTAAAAATCTGCATGTTTATTACCAAAAAGCATTCATTTTTTTTTTCTCTTTACCCAATCCTTCCACTTTAGTGGGTTATATTCAGTTACAAAGAAGCATTATTTACTTTTAATGCACATATTTTTCTTAAATGTATGATTGCAGAGAAAATAGTAAATGCCACCAATCTGGTTATGGAAAAAGGTTACCTTTAGACTAAACAAGCGTTTCTCATGCAGCAATCCAGGAGAAGTAATCAAACCGTGCATCTTCAACAGTCTTGTACGAGATTCAATAACATCTGTATTTAAATTCATGACCTCCCCAGCTAAAAACATTCTAAGTCTAAGAAGGTTATGTTGGCGTTGCTCAACCAAGGCAAATGCATAGACCTGGGGGAATTTTCCACCACCCTCTTTAAACTGCAATAAGCAACAACATCTACATAGTCATAACTGAGCCTAGCATAGCATAACCGTCCATGAGCAAGTCACATTCTTGTATATAAAATGAAATCAATGATAACAAAAGGTGTAAGAAACTGTCAATTGGCTGCTCATTAAAATACCTGATCTTCTGAAAGCAGCAAAAGATCGTTTTGTACTATTTTCTCGCCTTCATCATCTCCATAAGTAACTGAAGGTAAAAGAAATCCCTCTGACTCATTGCATTCCACTACAAGTCTCAGAACCCATTCCGTCACTGCAGCACCCCAACACATTATGTAAAATCATCACTTTAAGTTTGATTTTAGCACAATTTGAACAAGGAAGCCTCTAACAAACATCAAAAAATTGAAAAAAGGTCAAATTTTCCAAATAACAGGAAGAAAACAAAAACCTTCTTCGTCATCCTTCTTTTGAATAATCTGAGCTTTAACTTCTTCAAATAAAAGGGGCTCGAAAGTTGCAAGATAATCATCAACATCTTTGTACGTATTCTTTACTTGTCTTAAACCCGAACCACCTCCCTTGCCACGCTCTTTTTTCTGTTTCTGCTTTCAAAAAGAAGAAAATAAGAAAACTCATTACTTAAAACATATGCATTCATGGAATCATTACAGGTTGAAGTGAAAGAGAAATACAGCAGCTTCTGTGAGAAGACCAAAATAGTCCCAGCCCAGAATAATTTTGCAAAAACGAACAAAGGATGCTTCTTCTTCTTCCCGAAGCCTATCTTTATCCAATGCCATCTTTTATCCTGACGGACATTCAATATCACAAAACCCATATTCAATTCATCCATTCAAGACTTTGACACAAACTCTTCTTGTCCATGAATGAAAATCCAATGAAAAGGGACCTCAAATAAATAAATAAGTAAAAATTCCCTACCCTTTACAGAGAAAAAGGAAGAAGAATGGGCTGCCGGTGGCGCAACTCGCCGGCCACGAGCGTTCTGCGAAAGGACTGAGTGACTGAGGGAGAGGAAGAAGGAGAAGAAGAGGGAGAGGGTTTAACAAAGGCCAAAAACCTAAATATTTTCCTATATTTCTGTTACTTATTTTTTCACTCCTATATGTTTTACATTTGTCAATTAAACCTTATACTCTCTATTTTTGTCCAATTGCACCCCTAGTAATATATATATATATATATAACAATCTTGAGAATTAAATTTTACGCCCTTAAATACTGTTCCAATACTTCACGCTAGTTGTTTTGCCCGTATGATATTGTGCTATAGTTTTAATAATTAATTTTTATCTAGTTTTATTATAAAGAAAATAGATATTTTCAAAGAAAGAAAACTAATTAAATTTTAAAAACTTTAAAGAAAGAAAACTAATTAAATTTTAAAAAAAAATTATTAATATATTTTTTATAAAAACATTTCTTTTTGTTAGAAGCATTTTTGAATAAAAAATTAAAAACTAATAAAATAAAAATTTAAATCATTTGAATTAAAGAAAAAAAAATGTACCTCTTCAATCCAAACTCTCTTTTCTTACTTATTTAATTCATTTTTATTTTTATAAAAATATGATTTTATAAAGATCATTGCTTTTAAAATAGAAATTTATCATAATTTTCAAAAAACATTTAATAAGAAAATAAAAATAAACATGACTCGATAATTTATATATGGTGAAAGAAAATTAAAAGAGATAATTAATATGAAAAAAAATGTGAGAAATTATAATAAAAATAAAAAAATTATTGTACTCTCATTTAATATTTATGAGTATATCGTTTTATAAATCTTGCAAATTAGTTTCATATATAATAACTCATAAAATTATTATAAAAAATATAATTTTATTTAAAAATATGAAAATTTTAGTTAATATTTAAAATATTATTTTATTTATAATAATTAAAAAAACACTTAAAAATAAAGGGATAGTATGAAATGAGATCAAGTGTGGATTGTCCCCTCACTTTTCAAGTTTATGTTTGTGCAGATCACGTTCAGCCATTCACAACAAGAAAGTGAGGTTCTAGGTCGTTAGACCTAAATCATTTAATTTTCAAATTTGTTTTAATTTGAAAATATCTTAAAAAATTATAAAAACTCTAATAAATTCATTTTTAATAGGGGTTTAAATTTTTTTAATAAGATAAAAACTTTAAACTATCTCTTTAAAATTTTACTTTTTAAAATTGATTTATCAACATCAAAATTAATTTTTATCATTGCTACGATATGGTTTTTTTTTTTTTCAGCCACTTTCTTCCTCCTCATATATCATATGAAAATCAAAACATAAATATAATAAGGTTTAGGATATAAATATAAAATTCTCAAATAATAAAGATAAAATAAGTAAGACCTTAAAAAGATCAAACTATAGTTTTTCATGTCTCTTAAACATTAAAATTGAAATGCCTAGTTTGTTTTCTTAATTTTTGTTCTATTCTTTCAATTTTTTTCTAGAGAAAAAATAATTTTTTTTATGAAATTAATGTTTAATTCACAAATGAAACACTCTAAAAAACCTTACGCATGCAAAATAGAATGTAAATAAAAGTGAATTATAATACATATAAATGGATGCAAACATCAATGGTGATGATGGAATAGCAAAGAAATAATTTACAAGGACAACCAAACAATGCTATCCACCATGCTTTAAAACAGAACCCATAGTAAAAGTGAATTATGTTTTAGTTTTTTTTTTTTAATGTAATTTGCCTTGACCTCTTATTAATCCAATTTAAAATAAAAAAATAAAAATTAGATGAAATAAGAAGATAAAATTAAAGTTCTAATAGATAGGTTTTGTCATTACTAAATTATTCTTTATAATATCTTTTTTCAGGTTATATTAAATTTTTTTTTTAAAAAAATATGTATTAAAATAATATTACTTTTATATTTTAAAAATAATTTTTGATATTAGTATATCAAATTAATCTAAATCTATATAAAAAATATTTTTTAAAAAAATTAGTTATTATTGATACTATTAATTTATCTATAAGAATTTTATCCACACATATTAATATATATTTTATTTATATTCAAAATTTTTAACCCATAAGTATATATTTACAATTACTTAAAAATAAATGGATAACAGAGCTAGAATATTACAATTACTTATTGTTGTCAAAAAGTTTCATATATTTTGTATTTCTGACATGGTAGGGATAGTTCAGCCAAATCAATCGCAATTTATTGTTTAGAGATAAAGGTGCTAAGAGGCCCAGATGAACAGGCGAACGCTACAAAGATAGCAGAGCACTAGAGAAGAAACACCATAGCTAAAAACACAAGGAAAAGAGTTCAATACAGAATAGCTTGCACTGCAAATCTCCATAGAAGCACAGAAAATACTTGCTAATCAAAATTCTTAAAAGTGATCCCTACATATCAACTTTGATCAGAACCACGTATCTCAAAAGCAAATTACAAACAGTTATACTCGCTCCTGGCTCCTTGTCATCGCCCTGAAGATCAGCAGCGTCGAAGGCCAAGTGATTTGTGATAGTTTCTAGTATATACTTCAATCCAGCTACTTCTTAGACTGTCGCGATATTCAGTCAGCTCTGCTATTTTCTGTTGCAAGCGCGTTCTTAAGATGGGCAGTGCGTGCTGTGTATCTTTGTGGACTATGTCAAGAACCTCAACTCCCTGATCACCATATAAGCGTTCGATGCACCTCTGGAAGCTAATTAGACTCCCGTTTTTCTCTTCATTTTTGACAGTGACTCCCCCCAGCTCCTCTGCGTACATATCAGCTGATTTAAACCAATCCAATAACATGTTCAGCTCAAATTGTTCATCTTCACATTCAAACAAGTTGTTTTCATACTGATTTAGACGCCTGTTCTTAAAGGAGTTGCCCCGCAGTCTTGAAGACACGGATATTACCTCATCATTCAGTACTTGGGATTCATGTCTCTTTGTATTGTTCCTGTGTTCTTCAGGTAGGATTAGATATCCAGGAGAGCACTTTGCACACGTAGAGAGATCAAGTTCTTCAATCGGTTTATTCCCACGCCTCTCCCTCCTTTTGTTCTTCTCTTTGCATCCCCTTACTTCAAGTGCACCTAAACTCTCACAATTCTTCGAGAATCGAAGGAACTCGCCCATCAGATCAGGATAATTTCCAATCAAACTGGAAACCATATCTTCTAATTCTGCCCTTTCAACTTTTCCCTTGCTGTAAGCAAAGAAAAGCTTTAAGAATTTCTTGTAACTCACCTCACAAGAAAGACTCTTCTTAACGTTCTCTAAGAAGCCAATTCCTTCTCCAATCTGTTCTGAGACACTTCCAGATCCATTTGCCATGATAAATTTTCTTTCTTGATCAGTCTTTGGGCAAACTTTCCTTTTTTCAGGAGTCCTTTTCTGCTGCTCATCAACCCTACTTTTGGTGAGGTCTGAAGATTGCAAATCTGGAAGGCGATGAGTCAATGGCTTTGCTGCAGTAATTGCCATAAATCTAAGAAACTCTTCTTGCAAATCAGGATGGCCTTCGGTTAGGCCGAGACCAGAATTGCAGACGTCAACCCAGTTCCTAGACCCTTTTTTATAAAACCTGAAGATTTTCAAGAATTCTTCGTAGTCGTCCGCACCACACTTGATCCTCAGCTTGTTTACAAAATCCGTGGCCTCTCGAAATCCGTTTGTCTCACTTGCCGTGTCTGCAACTGTTTCCTCCTCCTCATCATTAAGGCTACAGCCACTTTCTTCAGACTCGTCTGCCCTAATAATTTTTGTTTCGCAATCTTCAATATTTTCAGGACTGCTTTTCTCATGTTCATCAACCCCACTGCTGGCGACGTCTGCAGATCGCAAATCTGGAAAATGAGAGGCCAAACATTTTGCTTCAAAAAGTGGCATAAATCTAAGAACGCCCTCTAGCAAATCAGGACGGCCTTCGGTTAGCTTAGGAGAAAAATCGTTGACATCAACCGACACCCTAGACCCTTCCTTGAACAAGTTCAAATTCTCCTCATAACCAACCTCACCACATTCGATCCTCGGCTTGTTTAGAGAATCCATAGCATCTAGAAATCCAATTTTCTTACCCTCCTCAGCTTCCTTCTTCTCCACATCATCAAGGCTGATTTGATGGCAAGGCGGCATTAATGAGTTGTACCCATCAATCAAGTCATTATAACCTCCAAGGATTGCCTTAATTCGTTCTTGGAAATCTTGAGGCCTCCCTGCCACGACACCATCACGCGCAGCGTCTGAAATCATGGCATCTTCCGCGATCCTGATAAGGCTGCGGATTTTTTTCTCAGGCTGGTCATGTTGAAACCGGGCTTTCACTTTCTTGACGTAGTTTATGAAAGGGTCAACTTCTTCCGGAGGTTGCTGAGAGAAGATGAAATGGATGTAATCGTCACTGTAATCTCCGCATCTCTTCATCTCTCTTAGGCTTTAGAGAGGAAGAGAAATAAAACAAATTAACAACTAACTGAGATAGACTGCACGTAGTTCTTGGCGAAAGATTCTATATAGTGTTCATTAATCCTTTTCCTGAACGTTTTAGGATGCTTCTGAAAATTAAAAGTTAGAAGTACGATCACAAATCCTTTTCCAAGTAGGATAAAGCAGACTTAAATTAAATCTGAAGAGATAAATCATAGGCGAATTCGGATTTGGCTATTAACCCTTTGGTCTTTCCGATCAGGGATCATCATCTCTAGGTTCTGCCACTGTTATCATTTAGTTCCTCATTGAAGCTGCTATTTCTGCGCAATTTTGAAGCTGAGGGGAATTTTAAGTGTTTTCGATGCTTATGATATACGAATATATTGCCAGGGGTTGTTAATTGTGTTTAAATGTAAATCTGATCATCTTCAATCTAATCTAATATACTGAATAATAGTGCTATAATATCATATAAACTTTATTATTATATCAAATAATCACAACTTAAAAGCATTTATACTCTTCAATTTCTTACATGTAAGCCCCGGTTTAAAATCAGTAAACTAATGTTAAATGGGGAGATTCTCAGAAAAAAATAATAAATAAATTAAGAGGGAAAATTTATGTAATTCGGGATGAAAATTTTAATTAAATCAATTTAAACCTAGAGTAGATAAAGTAATAAGTATGTGAAATGTAAATCCAGGAAAAAATAGTGTAAACTTTCAATCAAATAAAAAAGATTATTTAAAGGAAATCTTTATTGATTTGAAGTGAAAATATTTAGAAGTAAATAATAATTAAAATAGAGTGGGGTTCTAAATAAAATAATGTATGATTTTATGCAAATTAAAATAGAGTGGGGTTCTAAATAAAAGAATGTATGATTTTATGCATGAATAACACTGATTGTTAGTATAAGCCCCACATATAATCATGTATTTTGTAATTGAAAATTGTGAAAACCCCAAAGAAAACTTTATTATGATTAGGGGTGAAAATTCCACTACACCATTAAATAGTTTTAGTGACGAATTAAATTCGTCAGTGTAAGACACACAATTTGTTGAAATTTTTTTTACCAATAACATCACCAACGGAATCCGTCTATTGGAATATTGATCATCGGTAATTCCCATTTCTTTCGGGAAAAAAAATATCGACTATCTTATAGACGGACAAAGTGCGCCAAATTTTTTTTCCCATTAGACCTTTATCAATGAAATTATTTCGTTTGTATTTCTATCGGTAAATCACCAACTGATAGTTCATTAGTGATTATGGCATGGACAATAAATATTTCATAACTCTTTGTAAAATACTAACGGATAGAGTCCATCGGTATTGTCAATGGTAAATCACCGACAGAATAATGTCGTCGGTGATTGTGGCATGGGTAGTGAATTTTTTTCAACTTTCTATTTAATACCGACAGTCATATTCCATTTGTAAGGTCATCAGTATTTATTCAAAAATATTATATTGATTAATAGTAAAAAAAACTAATTAACCAATTAAAATTATATTAAATATTAAAAATATAAAAATAATGTTAAATAATATTCATCACAAATTTAATGTATTTCAAAAACAAAATAAAACTAGAATAATGATAGAGAAGGAGGAGGAGGAGGTTGGTTATTCCCGTGACTGTATGGCCAAAAAGGGTTATACATGTATCATCACTCATCCTTAATCTAATGTCCATGACCATTTAACAGAGTTGTTCATAATATGTTGAGAGTAGTTCATATTGTTGTTTCAAGGCCATGAACTCCTTAGACTGAGTGCTTGATACTGATGGAGAGCTCCCAATGATTGAGACATTACGGGTCACACGTAAGTTTTCGGTCATGGTGTTAGAGAGCTTGTAGACCCAATTTTTATTAGGTCCACTAGACAATCCTACCTCCATCCATAAATTCAGATCGAAATCCGGATGGGTTAAAGGATTATCCCTATATCCCTCCCTCAACCAGCTATTATAAACCTCCTGAAATGTTTTTTTTTTAAATCATCATATTCAATCAATAAAATAATAACTTATGAAATAAAATGATTGAATGAACATACCATGAAATGTTGAGTACAGTTGTCCATGAACTGTTGCACCCCCTTTTAGCGGTCTTCACTCTACACGTGCTTCTCGACAAACAGCTCTATTGGGCTCATCTCATGTCCAAAAGACGTAACCTGTAAGAAAAAAATTGTTACAAGTTAAATATATTTATAAGCAATAGAAAATTAATTAATGATATATTTCATTTAAATTAATCTTAGCATTTGCTTCGCATGTGCACCGAACGGAACAGAGTCGCTAATGTGCATGGTCACCTAATCATGAATTTGTCAGTTCTGGTTGTCGGTACCAGACTATAAGCATTGTGCAAACCGCTCAGACGTCATGTACTCAATTTATTACGTCCATATATCCCCTAAGATGAATGGCGATTTGAATTCCTACCAAACCGCCATCTCATTCCAGCCATCTAGACCATTATCTCTTGTATATCTTTTTGCTTTTTTTTTTTGTCATACCAAAAATCATGCAAATTGCTTCCATACTAATAAATTAGAATTTAGAATATAAAATTATAAAGAAAAAAATTACATTTTGTTTTTTACTTAGTTGCCATGTGATTCTCCCATACCCTCCTCACAACATTGTTGTTCATGCTATCCCACTCAAATTTGTACTGTGTATAAATAATTTATTTAAAATAAAAATATTACAAGATATAAAATTATAAAAATAATTTATTAAAAATAAGCTGGAAATTAAAAGGTAATTGACATGACTAAAAGATTAATGTCTTCTCCCAAGTGCAGGAGTGTCGAAGTAATAAACCCGGCAAGACTAGGGTCGAACCACAGGGAAGTTAATTGTATAAATTATAAATAACAATAATATAACAACAACAACAGTAGTAGTAGTAGTAGTAACAGAAGAAGAAGAAAAAGAAGAAGAAGAAGTTGACAAGAACTTTGATATGAAAGATTAATGTAATGATTAAACAATGATAACAACAAATGTCAAGGTTAGAGGATTCACTAATGGTATGTCAAATAAATATAGTATAAACTCTTATTACTCAAATATAAACCACACATAAAGGAAGTTCCAATTACATTATAAATTGTTAACATGATTACAAATAAAGAAAAGGAAATGAAAGGCATAAACTTGATATTAATGAAAGCAAAACTTAAACAATATAAAGATACAAAGAGAGAAAGCAAGAGCATGATCTTGATCTGGAGACCAAGA